ATGTATTTTTGGCTATTGCTACAAATATACTCCAGCGACTTAAGACTGCTTTTGTGGTCCAGGGTCACATATATCTCATGTACCATTGATTGAATACATTATGTACTGTTTAGGTATTAATATGTACAGTTTAAGTACTAATATGCACCTTTAAGAAACTAAAATACACTCTTTAGAGGTAAATATGGTGCAAAGGTATGTCTTTTGAAAAGTTACCGCCCCACTGACGGCCTATTTTTCTGAAAGTGCATAAGTCCACAGCTCTAGTCCTTCCCTGGTGCCATATTCCACCACATACTTTTATCAGTGTCCTTTGTGGTATCTTTTATGTGGTATTTATTATGTTTACACTCCTGTTACACTCCTGTTCTTGTGTTCCTGCTATATACTATATATATATATATATATAATTTTGTTTTTTTTCCCCCAAAAAAATATTATGCCAGATGTATATATTGTATTATAAATGTAGTTATTTTTTTCTGTTCCTCACAGCTCTGAATTACTTCCACTTGAAATTGTACCTGAAATTGTTGTCTGAATTGTTTGGTTACACGAGTTCTCGTTCTTTTCTCTTACAGTCTACCTGTTTGTGGGTTTGATGATCATGTTCCTGGTCCTTCGTACTTTCCACAAGCTTGCAGATGTGCACGGCTGGACTGCTTTCTTCCAGCTGCCGAGCTGCGAGGAGGAAGATGAGGATAAAGAGCCAATAATAGAGCGAGAGCCTGATGATGAATCGCCCGAGGCAGAGAAGGACTCAATTAATCCTCTGGATCCCAGCTCTCAAGTGTCCTACAACTCCATCAATAGTTAAAACACCAGTTTGCTCCACATTCTGATGAGGTCACTTACTTTCACAGTGTCCTGCACAATTGTCTGGACATGTAACACCAACACGTTGCAGTTTAAGGTCAAGACAATCGAGATGTGCAATACAGTACACCTCACTGTTGGACAGAACCGCTTCTGATGCTTTGTAGGAGCAAAGCATCTGGGAAGAACATTTTCACTAATTCGGTTTCTGTTGAGTTGCCAAATCTGATCTTTAAGACTATAGGGGATATTGACATTGCTTTAGGAAATTGAAAACTTGCTCATTGTGTCCTAAGTGTGAATCATCTTTAGTGTTGTTTTGTGTAGGATTCGTAACTGATGACTGTTTTCAGATCATTAAGTGACTATTTTTTTTGTTGCATGGACTAAGACCGCTCTGGACCACAGAAACAGGAAGAGAATGCTGCTGCTTGCACCTGTCCAATACTGTTCTGTGTGTGTGTGTGTGTGTGTGTGTTTATTTTTTACATATAAAAACATGCTTCTACACACACAAATTGAGGAGGCAGGAAATTTCTTTTCATTTATTTTTTTCTGCTATGAAAGTGACTGGTGCGTATAGTAATTTCTGTAAAGGTTACATTAAAAAACAGGACAAGCAGAAAAGGGCTGGATTTACTGAGAAGTAAACAGCCTTTAAAGGGCAGTTATCCAAATCATTAATTCAGCCAATCAAACGACTTAATTACCAGAAATTCATCAGATGGGCTTAAAGGTCAAAAAGTGACATGCCGGCTGCTTCTCTCCTCCTTCGGCTGGCTCGACTCTCTCTCTTCTTCAACTAAATTGCCTCGCCCGGGGTCTCACTTCCGAAGCGTCTGATTAGAAAAATGCGGCCTTGATGCATGCACTTTTAATTTGCCCACAACAAGCACACACACACACGCACACTTATCCTCCCTATAACCCTTCCATGGATTAGCCCAGATATGGCCATAGCTATCAGGGGTTCAAATCAACTCCAAAGCCTCTGAATTTAACAAAGCTTACTGTTGCAATTACTGTGTCCGCTTTTTAGTTTTTTCCCCGTTTTATTGGGCGAAAAAACGTTGTTGTTTGTAGGTCGTCACAGCGCAGAGGAGTTTAATATGTTGGCGTAGCCTGACCCTGGCACCCCACATATTGACTTATTTTCCAAAGGCACCATGTAAAGCGGATGCACTTTATAATTGGCTTTTTATTTAGGTTTGTGCAGCCAGTGGTTATGCTGAACACAATATTTTTGTCTTTATTATAGTACTGTATGTTCATTAAATATTCTTTGTATCATTGCTATTGTATTTTCAATGTTGGATTGTAGGGAAGAAAAAGGTGCCTGATATTCACTGTCAGAAGAACAAAAGGTGTTTTAAGAAATGCATGCACAGAAAAATAAAAGTAATTTTGGTACTTTGTGACTTGATGCATTTGTATGGCCAGGTGTGATAAAAATATATCTTAAAGGAAGGTTGTTCTTTACACACCCTGTTTTATCTCTCTTTAAATAGGTTTCAAAAAATCTGTGATAAACATGTCATTATGTAGGCCTAGATAAATTTAAATAACCTACCACTCAAAATTAAAAAAAAAAAAACCTTGGGCCCGTTCTTCGTACGTCGCTTATTATATCCAAGATCAAATGACACGAGATATCATCATCAGGATCTGGCTAATTCGGTTCTTCGAACGCAGCTGTTGTTGATGATTAGTATGACTGGATTGAGTTATCTGAGATAATTGCGCGTTCATGGGTCGGTTATGTATCGATACTCGAAACCACGATCAGCAATGCAGCGATTGGCTGGCGGCAAGACAGCAACGTAATGACATCATATAACTAAAAAAGACACCTGATGAAAAACTTGACAAATTTCTGGACTTTTATAAGAAAACAGCCAAGCGAACAAAACTACATAAATGTTATAATAGATAAATGAAATGTGTTTTTATTTTACTTTAATATTTTAACATGACTCCCAATTATTTATATTCATGATTTCTATTCTTTGTACAGGCTTTACATTTTTATTTCAATGTAGTAATTAGCAATTCATTTAATTTTATATTTGAAACAGATTTGTTACATGACAGCATTAATTAAAGTTTCTTAAGGGTCAAGATCAAGTTCTCTGTGTATCTCCTGCGCTCCATCAAGCCACTCCCATAATAGCTGTCATCACTCAAATTAATGCACGACTCTACATTATCTGTATAGCATGTGTGTAAGACTATTACAATTATGAAGTAATTATTTTATGACGAATAAATCTTTCAATGAGTAAAGCTGGCTGTGTCTGTAGTATTAAAGACTACACAACATTTTTATATCATCTTTAAATTAATTTTTAAATGATTATTTTTAAATTATTGTCCTTGGATCAGTAGGGTACTCCTGTAATAAAGTAGCGGTGGCTGAGACAGATTTTAAGTATCAATTCTGCTTAAAAAGATGCAATCTAATCCTGTTTACATGAAATAAGCTGCTCCTGAGCAGGGTTAAGCGTACGGACCTGTTGCTATGACAGCAAGTCCAGGATGAGCTTTGAAGAACCAACCAATCCAAGATCAGGCCAAATCGTAAACAATCAAATCCAGCTAACTGAGTTAGCCACGTACGAAGAAAGGGCCCCTGATCTCTTCTAAGTGGAATAAACAAGTTTCCCGTCTCCCATGTTGTTTCTGTACATATTAGGACTAGAATTAGTGAAATATTAATCAAATTAGTAGTTTTTGTTTTTCACATGACATAAAATTAAGTAATTTTTCCTATAGACTCGTTAAAGGCTTATCCTTTTCTTGTAAGCTTTTTGTAGCTTGAAAATGGTATGTCTCATTTTGTAATCTGTATCTTATCCCTTTCATATAGGAAATTATTCCCATTTACATATTAGATTTTAAATGATAAATTAATCTCCATAGCATTCTCTCCAAATAGCAATTTGACATGGTCTAGTATGGGAACTGTCTCTGTTTCTTAAATATAATGACTTATTTAGCCACTTGATGTCACCAAGTACCACTTTATTTTAAGTACAACAATAGAATACAAAGGGTGATTAATATTCACATTATAATTTCATATTGGCATAGTAAATATTTTGCATAGGCAACTACACGTTCATCTGCTGAAACAGCACCAGTATATTCATAATGCTCATGTAACTGCACATTACAATATCATATTTTTATGACCTTGGTCTATTTAAAGGACACTCCTAATGGTAACCTGCAAACTATGCAAGAATCCATATTACACTTAAACTCAATGGAAAGTGCATATTTCAGAGAATAACATTATTTCATAAAATAATAAAAAAATAAACAAAATGGCACATTTGGAAGGATTCACTTCAACAAAAATTGTGTATAACAGTCGCTGAACTCTGTTCAATGATGCCTTGAATGAATCTGCATGAAAGATCATTTCTTGAAACAGAATGAGATGTGCATAAACAAGAGGACTAATGACTGCTGCTAACCATCTGACCTTGAGATCAACTACTTTTAACATGACAGGTTGGTAAACACGAGGTAGCACAGCTTTATTCAATCCCTTATGGAAATTTCTTCAGTATGCCTCCATAAAAACTGTTCATGACCTCAACATCAGGAACATGATATCATCAAAATCAGCTTTGCGGGTACGTTCGCATCAGGATGTCCATAACATGCTCTATCTCCTGGATTTCCCATGTGGCCTGACTGTGAGAGACTAAAGATGAGGAAGAGGATGCTGATGGGGATTTGGACAGGGATGGCAGATACTTCACTAGATCTTCGGCCGTGACGGAGAAACCTTGCAGACGGTTCACCTCCGGTTCAAACACAGCCGTGTCGATGTCTAGGAGAAGTTTATCTAGAGGACGCATCAGCTCCGTTTTGATGGACGATGCCATGTCAGACGTTCTTTCAGTCCTCAGAGGACACGGTGTTAGATTCTCTACAGAGCTGAGCGGAGCCCGTTGAGATGCACAAGGCCCTTGACCGGCGTCGATGACTGCATCTAGATCTTTGAGAATGCCAGAAATGGCTGAAGATAAAGAGAAATCCTCCTCTGAAGTCCAGGCCATGAAAGTATCCTCTATATTTTCAGCATTCGGTGACAATAAAGGTGCATTATGCTCCGCTGGAGGAGATAATTGTGTAAAATCGGGCTCTGGTTTTAATTTGGTGGGAATTTTTACAGCGGACAGCGATTCGACCTGCGTCCGGACCTCGGACTGGACCTGCCGCAGTGTGTTGTTGATCAGAACCGACCGTAATAAGCAGGGCTTCACGAGAGCCTGGTCGCGGTGGAACTTATCCATGGAGATGTCCAACACGGACTGCAGCTGACTTTCCCATGCTGAACCTCCTCTCGTCCTCCTTGTGGAGTTTACGCTTCTGTCCCTGGGCCACCATTTCTCACACTGCAAAACAACAGTGAGTTTGAGTTTAAGACTGCTCCTATGAGGAAATGCAAAACATACACCTCACATAGTAGAGCGAGAATGATGTAAATCATTCAAAGAGGCCATATTACCACACCATTTGCTAAAGCTGTACAGAATGTATCAATTATTTTTCATACAATTCATGTAAAGTACTAAATCAACTATTCAGTAGTTTTAATCATTTAGAGACTTGATAATAGAATACTCAAAGACAGAAAAGAAAAATCTCAGTAAAAAACATTAATCTGTAAGGTAAGTTTATTCTATGACTGCATACGAATATAGAAATATTTCATTTCCCATATTTTAATTGATATGTCAAAATAGCCTATAGGTTTTAATGTACATTTCAGACGTCTAAACTGTTCAACTCATTGAGTTACTAAATAATAATAACTCCATGAAGTACAATTAATATTAAATTGAAAAATATATTTTTTTTTTTTAATAATTTAAAAAATAGCATTTTACCCCAAGGGTCTAATTTTATCTTTTTACTTTTAAAAATATGTTTTTATTGCACAATTCTAAAAACATTGTGTCCACAAATTCCTTATTAAAAATAAACAATATGTGACCCTGGAGCACAAAAGCAGTCTTAAGTCGCTGGGGTATATTTGTAGCAATAGCCAACAATACATTGTATGGGTCAAAATTATTGATTTTTTTTTTTATGCCAAAAATCATTAGGATATTAATTAAAGATCATGTTCCATGAAGATATGTTGTAAATGTCCTACTGTAAATATATCAAAACTTAATTTTTGATTAGTAATATGCATTGCTAAGGACTTCATTTGGACAACTTTAAAGGAGATTTTCTCAATATTAAAAAAAAAAAAAAAAATAATAATATTCAGCCTAACATTTCCAGAGATCCAAAAATAGCTCAATTAACTGTTTGACTGATTAGGCTAAATCTCACATATGTTCATAACCAGATCAAATGACAAAATGAAGGAGATTAAAGCCATTCATTAAATGAGTTGAGATAAGACTTTGTGCCATCCATCATCAAGAGAGAAAAAGAAGGTGGGAGTCATCTTATCCTATAATATTTAATATAATTACCTAAATGCACAACCTAAACTATAACTGATAGAAATGAGGCCAATGTGTGTATCATACACACATATATGTGACTGTATCATATTTAATTATATTAAAGTTATATTTAATTATATCGAAACCGTATTCGAGTCTATGCCTGTAACGTTATGTATTGCGACAACTCGAGACTGATTTTTAATAGACATTTTTATATAAAAAGTCATTCGAATTGAACTAGGCATATTTACAATATCAGCCTTCCAGAACAGCAACTGACTACAAAAGTAACATTTTTTAAATGGACACAAAAACAAGTCATGTATTCAATGTATGAGGAGTTTGTGTGAGCAGAAATCAGTGCGCTAGCTTAGCATGTTAACTACCCGCTATTACTTTCTGGATGACATGTTTTACTCACCTGTAAAGAATATAAACGAACTCCAAAATCGATGTAACTCGTGTAGATTTATATTCATTCGCCTTCTATAAATTATATAACGCTGCTGAAGCGTCGCGTGACTGGAAGCGTTTGCTGGGGTTTTTGTCCCGCCGGTGATTCAATCAGTTCTGACGTCACGCGCGAAATGCACGCCGGGTATTGTAGTTGCGTAAGCACCTACTAGTTCTTGTGTCTCTAAACAGCGGGTACAACACATAATATACTACCAACGTAGACGAGAAACAATAACTTTGTAAATTAACATATTTATTTAAACACAGAACATAAAATGATTACATTATTAGGCAAATTACATAGTTTTTCATTCAATGATTCTTAAGGCGAAACAAACAGCGCGAAGTTCTCCAACGATCCATTTCTCAGTAAGAACAAAACTTCTAAGATTAACTATAGCCACGTTTATTGCTGGTCAGTTTATGTTTATGAAAAAAAAAAAAGCTTTATAGGTGCAATCAGTAACTTTAAAAAAAGCTTCAGTTATTTGACACTTCTACAATGGCATAAGTAGCAAAAAAATAAATAAATAAATAAGGCTGCTGCAAAAGTAAAGTCATTTTGGCCAGCGAAGAATAAATCAATAATTACTAAGTGCCCCTGAGTAGATTAACTATATTCTCCACAAACTCCAACTGTCTTTCCATCCCATTCAGAAGTAGAAATGCACTTGACAAAGAAATGGCCCAGGTCATATTTGGAGATAACTCTTCCGTTTAACATGTTCTCAGTCACAGTGTATTTTTCAGTCAGAGGTTTGTCACCTAGAAAGACAACAATCACACATTTTCTTAAACATACAGTAAAGGTCCTGGTTGAAAAATAACCAAAACCAAAACCATATTTTGGGGATGTTGATCTTTTAGAGCTAATTACCAGCAATATGCGGAGGCATGACGGCTACATAGTCCAATCCTGACTCTTTCAGGACAGTGTACATTCGGTCATGATCTTCAGTGACCGGCACCAGGCGAGGAGGAACTTTGGCACGATCCCACAGGAGGAACGCTGTGAAAAGTAAAAGAGAGAGATACAGCAGTTTCTTCATATGTCAGTATGCGCTTGCACACTAATGAAGCAGAAACACGGCTCAGACATCCGATACCTGACATGCACGCAATAACTTTGCGGATTCCACGGGCTTTCATGACCTCCAGAATGTTCCGGGTTCCCTCAGACATCATCATTGTGGGACCAGCAGACAAAATTTCAGAGAACAAGTAAATAAAGTGCACTTAACTTGAATAATATTTGGATACAGTTATTAGTAACTCCAAGCCTGTTTGATTTTCAACCACTTATTTCAAACGTTCCCTCCGAGCATCATGTTTCATGATGCAATTAATTCCCAAAAGGAATTTTTACTCTGAATTACGCCACAATACGGAAGTAAACCCAGTTTTTCATGCTGATTTTGTTTTGAATTTTCTTATTACTAGTAAGAATGATGCATGTATGACCAAAAAACGAAAAAGAAATGACATTACTAAGCGAATTTGCTTTGAGTTTAAAGGGGTCATATGATGCGATTTCAAGTTTTCCTTTCTCTTTGGAGTGTTACAAGCTGATTGTGCATAGATAAGATCCCTGAAGTTGGAAAGACTAAAGTCTCAAAACCAAAGAGATATTCTTTATCAAAGTTAAGACTCTGCCACGCCCCCCTAAAACGGCTCGTTCTAACACGCCCCCACATATCTTTTTGAACATTAAAGCATGTCAACATATTCTGTTACACCAAATACACAAAATAATGATCTTTAAAAAAGCATCATATGACCCCTTTAAGTGAACTCACTGAGATCATTTCTTGTCCCCAGAATGATGATGACCGCATCTTGACCCTCCAGGGTCTTCTTCACATCATCTTTGTTCAGAACGTCTCCCACCACCACTCTGGAGGCCTCGTGGTCTGCAGGAAGCCTCGCAGCGTCTCTCACCAGCACAGTCACATTGTAACCTGGAACAGCCAAAAATCTAAGTGAGAAGACTTGGTCATACTGCTTGAAATGAAAGAGCATGCAAGACGCCATGCCTGTTTGGTCAAGATGACCATAAGATATCACAACTATCAATAAACACAACAATAAAGCACAGTGCAGCCAAATTAATTTTGAAACGGCTCGTATGAAAATGAGACAATGGTTTTATAAAAGTACAATATTTGATTACTGAAAATTTATTTAAAAAGAAACAAAAACTGAGCACTAATTTGTATTATATTTATGTTAATTGATTTGACATTTGATATTCATATAGTTATTTACTCTCAACAAAAATGACAATGAATCCAACTGAAGTGGAGGCAAGCTGATCAAGACCTCTGCAGTGTTCAGATCAAAACTGTCAGTTTATGCTTATCTTTCACATGCATACTATGACTCAGCAGCAGGTTAGTTATTATGCATGACTAAGAAGTTTCGCAAACGTCTCGTGATCACAATGCATTAGAGAAGAAACAAAACAAGTCAAACAAAAAATAACATTTTAACCAAGACTGAATTCACAGAAAAATTCAAGTTTAGCACCATCTGCTGGGTCCGTGTTATTAATCAACAACTCTGCAACTATGTTAATCCTGCAAGCATTTAGTAGCCTAAATTTGAACGACCCCAACTTTCCACACAAGTTTCTATTTTTAAACAGTCACATCGTTGCAAGGTCAAACACGAGCTCTGCATTGAAATATCCTAAAGCGCATAGGAGAAGAAGAAACTTTGAAATAACATATGCAGTATATCCCAAGTGTCATTGTGTAACTGTGTACCTGCGGCCACTGCGATAGGTAAGGTCGCTAACCCCGTCATCCCCGTGCTGCCGAATATTGCCACATTTTTTATAGCATCAGACATAGCTACTACGCTCTGGCACTAGCAGTGTGTTTAGCTGCAATCCTGATCTTGCACGTTTATGTCACTGCTGTCATGTAACGCTTCCTTCCGGAAACTAGGGAGCGTAGTATTGTGACAAGCCCCGCCTTTTGATCTGATCTCTGTTTGCTGTTGTTGCTAGGCCACATGAATGACTTCTCAGCTGTCCAATCGCTGTTTGCTTATGACTAGCGCTAACCAATCACAGCAAAGAATGCTCAGGTCAAGGGCGGAGCTTGACGGTGGGCGACTGTAACACGTCTTTAACTCCTCCTTTCTCACTTGTAATAGTTCATTTTGAAACAATCATTTACAACCATAGGTTACCATGATTCTGTGTTGTCTACTTGTCAACCAAGGGTGAGTAAGTGAATTACAATGAACACCTTTGACAGGCACCTGCTATAAACCCACGGTTAAAAATAAAACCTCCTTCAAAATAATGTGCTGTTAAACTATGTTTAGGATTTTATAGACTATTTCACAGTTCATAAGTGTATATTTCATAACTAATACAATGTTAATATACCAAACTGTACAAAAGTCTAGATGTTTACCCCCATGATGATGCGGGTGATATAACAGAGGACCACATGTCAAGATGACTGAATCTTGTTATAAAGATGTGCACTTAATAGTGTTGAATACTAAAAAAAAGTACTTATATATTATATTAATGAAATAAAAGGCCACTTAAGTGAACTTAAAAATGCTTAAACATGTATACATGACTATTTTTCTTAACACACTTAAGTGCTCTTATGTAATAATGTCAAATGAAAATGTTCACTTTTGTTTCACTATTGTTTGCATTATTTTAATAATCTTTTGTCATGCTTTAAAGAAGTTCACTTTTAATGCACTAACACACTAAAGCAAATTTACTTGATAATACTTTTACTAAATTTTATTTAAATGTAATATTAAATATAATTTTATATGTTTTATATATATAATATTTAGATATATAAATACTATATATATATATATATAAGTAAATAAATATGGGCCTAGTATATTTTATTTTGGTTCATTTATTATTATTATTATTTTAAATATGTCTATAGACTAAAGTTTTTCAATTTAAGTTTTTTATTTCATTTTCAGTTTTGGTTATCTTAAAATAAATGAAAATTAGAAATGTTGCTCTGGCAACTAGCTGAAATAAAATAAGTTTATTAAAATAAGTTAATAAGTAAATAAGTTTTTTTGCATATATTATTTCAAACATTTATTTCATTTCAAGTAACATTTTTAATGGTCTAGTTTTAGTTTAGTTTAGTAACCCAACAATGGTGAAAAGTAGTGTATATTATTGGACTTATGTATGAACCTTTTTTCACCATTGTATTGTGTGTGTGTGTGTGTGTGTGTGTGTGTGTGTGTGTGTGTGTGTGTGCATATATATACTGTGTATATATATAGCGCACGGGATATCCAAGCACATCGGCGATCTAACCGAGCAAGCAAATCTGGCCTCAGACACATTTTTCATGTGATGCGAGTGATATCACCCCTGAAGGAGCCGCGCGCTGACCGGTGTCATCGAAAGTACCGAGTGTCGTTTTGCGCCACGCACCCCCTTCTTCTCATCGCGCACCTGACTGAAGTATGCCAGAGAAAAGAGACAGCGCTCAATCCATCCGGGATTATTCATACATCGCATGAGAAGCATTTTACCGCGCCGATCTGTGCCATAATCATTCATCCTTAGGAGTGGGTGTGCAGGTAAGGACGCAGTGAATCGCATTGAGATCCGTGCTGGAGAGCAGTGATTCACGTACACTGTTATAATGTCCGTTGAGTCCTGTACGGTGAATGCAGCGAACACCGGCCTGTGCTGGCCACATACTGCAGTCATTTCTGGGCCGTGTCTTGAGCGATATTGTGCTTGTTGTAAACGTCACCCGCTGGTTTTGTGTATAAGAAAGCCAGGCCTGGTATTTATATCCACACGCTGCTGCATTTTCCAACACACTGCCCATTGGACCACATTGAGGAAAGTTGCTTGTAAGCCCAATAAGTGCCAATGTAAAGTGACAGGCCTGAATGGAAGAAAACATTTGATAGGTGGCATGAACATTAGATATGTAAGCCGACGAGAATAAACAGCGCTGGGTGTAAACGGTGATGGGAATAGTGGTTAACAATGCGGTAAAAGCATTGAAGAAATACATCATCCATGCATCCTAGCTGCACCCACAGCTCCAGCCATGTGTCAGAAATTAGCAGCAGCAGTGGACTTTTTGTGTAAAACGTGAAACTGCCATCCATGACCTGTTTTGCAGCATTAAAAGAATAGTCTCATGTGAGATTTCAGATCTTGGGTTAGTTGAAACAAGAGGCAGGACATATGAGTCATAGTAAGGTTAAATGCAATCAGTAGGTTATATATGTTGGTGTGTCTGCATTGCTCCCGTTGTATTGTCTCCTGATATCGATGCACAACCTTACTGTATATAGTATTTAGACTGCAAAGGAGGCACAGAAGCTGCACCTAAAGCAGCATATATGGCACAAACATGTTAAATTCTGCACATACAGCAGGTGGAATAAATGCATTTACAACAGGAGTTATAATAGCAAAAATAATGTTATGAAATTGATATTTTATGATTATTGAACATTTTTAATTAAAATATAAAATTCTAAATATAAATATGATCAACATATCATAAAACATATTTAAAAAAATAATGAATCATTTTAATTTAAAAAAATTAAATTAATTTGTAAAAATAAAATGTAAAAAGAACAACATTTTGAAATTATAAAAAATTTGATTTATGCTTGTTATACTTGCATCTTTTAAAATATACTTTGAGCCACCTATAACTGGACTGTTTAAAGACATTTTAATTTCCACATCTCAATTATGTATGAAACCATATACATGTTATATATGTCATTTTATTCATTGAAAACACTGCTGGTGTAGTCTATGAAATTCCAGTAGTTATATACTGTATGTGGTATAAATTTCTTAATACACAACTTGCTTAGGCTCCAAAGCAACAACTTTTTTCTTTGCAACAAGCACTTGTTTTTGTACTTCTGCATTCAGTTGATTTGATGCAAATGCATATTTTTTTAAATGAGATGTTTTTTTGCACATAGTAATCTACTCTCTTTTCAGTCTTTCACAGTGATGAGATTGAAGGCTTGCTTTACTAGCAAAGGATTTCATAACAAATGTTTAACCTACACAGTGTGATGTCATAGCCCTGATGCTGTCCGTAGTGTTGACATTCACTTTTGCAGCTATTAGTTGGTTGTCTTTTCAAATAAATTGGTGAAATAAAAATCTAATCATATTGGGTTTCTGAAACCCAATATACACAGCTCTGTTTATAAGTGCATATGTTTAATGTGTTGTCCACACTATAAAAAAAATTCCGTAAAATTTACGGTAAAAAAACGGCAGCTGGAGTTGCCGGAATTTTACCGTAAAAAAATACGGTAGCGACATTTTAGGTTTTACTGTTTTAACTTAAATTTTGAGTTAAATACCGTAATTTCATTAACTGATATAATGTTAATATACCAACCTTATTGAAATACTGAAATCAGTTTTGTTCCTTTGTAATACACTGATATCCACCCAATACAGGTGGTGATGAGAAAGTCACATGATGAACCAAAGCCCATCACAAGCAGCTTTTAAATAACAACATATATAGAAGGTGCACAGTGTCATTCACACAAACACTAAACACCATCATGGTAACACACGTGAAACTGAAATAATGCAATAAACATTAATTTAACAACATTAGGTGTAACACACAACCCTAATATACAAAACTGATAAGAAAAAACTAAGAAGAAACATAGTTATTTCAACAGAAAAACATCAAATTTGAAATGTAACGCAGGGAATTCTGGGAATGTCAATTTACAGTTATTCACTGTAAATTATACGGTCTTTTTAACTTCAAAAAACGGTATACTACCGTAAAATTACATGTAATGTATCCACCGTATATAGTAGGGGAATTTACCGTTAACCATTTAACAGGTTTTTACTGTAGCATTTTTACAGTCTTTTACCGTTAAATTCACGGTCATTTTTTACAGTGCAGTTCTCTTGATGTCATTGATCCCCAAGCAGATTTTCAGTGGAATAAATTCATCATTATGTCTATATCTACTTAATTCAATCAAGAAATGAAGGAAGGTGGCAGCAAGCATAGAGAGAGAGAGAAGTCCTCTGCTCGGAGACTGGCGGCCTTCATGTTAATGTAGCATTGCATGATCTCCCTCAGGTTCTCCTTGACTCTTTGAGGACTGGATCACTTTTTTTGTTCCCCTGAAAGCAACATATACAGTCTGAGAAGAAGCTCCAGCTCCTGATCTATATCTGACCTGTTTGAGTTTAAATGTAGAATGTCCTTTTTAAAGGACAACCGCTGTTTTTGTTGAGGCAGATACTTCTGTCAGATTATCCACGTCCAGCCCGTCTGTCCCTCTGTCTCACATTGTCTTGAAAAGATGGAAACTGATTTAGAAACATGATATCATTATGATATTAAAGCAGATTTATCCTAATGCTTATTTCTTGACCGTGAGGAGACAGGGTGGATGGTACCTGCTGCTTTGATACATTAAAAAGAGCTAACTAATTAATATAAGCTGGCCCAGACCAAATCATATTGTATTTTCTGGGCCAAAAATCTGTGGAATTCTGAGAAATGGATTTCATGGTATGTAAAAATATGTTCAAATGAGCTGAAAGAACTACACTCTTATTGCTGAATAGCTGAAAACATAATTAAATTAGCTCAAATATTTAATAAATACATAAACAAGCAGTAGGACATGTTCAGAACTTGATGTCTTCCAATTCTGTGAAAATTTCCTATGCACTGAAAAAATTATACTTTGGACCAACTTAAAAACAAACAAATACTCTAATTTGTTAGTTTTTCACAAATCCTATTTATAGTTACATTCAAACCTTAAATTTTGATTTAATATTAATCACAAATATTTATTTCCCATAAGACAAAAAAAATCATACAAAGTAAAACATTATTTATTAAAAAGACATAATATGTTTTATTTAGACATAAGTCAAATGTTACTTAATGTTGGTCAGTA